GTTCTATCTCCCGTGTGAAGTGGTACAATAAGGTGAGCAATATTGAGGTTAGCCGTCGGTCAAGTGCTAGGTAGGTGGGAGGGGAAATCAATTGACGAGGCTGTGAAGCTACATTGACTGAGATGGTTAGGACATGTGCTACGCAATCCTGCCTAGTCATCGCCTTCCTCGACCGACAGGCAATGTTAGCTGACATAGGGTGAGGCTGGAAAAGAGCTAGCGGCGGTCAAACCAAAACATGACGGCACCAGTCAATGAAATCTACAACAGTTTGCTTAAGCCACGTAGGAAGGTGTAGACTGGCTTCCTGGTTGGGGTCCTCGGGACGGTAAAAACCAATGGTTGGAAACAATTGGTGACATGGCTCAAAATCGTTCTCAATGGCTGGCGCAGATGCATCCACTCCTTGTGACTTATGATTTCTAACGAAACTATATTGTTCTTAATTGTTACTATTCCTTTGTCTCACATCTCTGTTTACTGTCTCTATTATGCATATCTTCTACTTTCTTCTCTTGTTTTGTGTGCTGCATGGAGGGAGTGTAGCGACTTGAACTGGTGCACATCGGTGTAAAGTTCTATGTCGAAAACAGACAAACAGACAGACATTTTCTAAGTGTGATAAATCGAACTTATCCTCGGTTGATTCATCCTTCAGTCAATCAGTCAGTCAGAGAGAGTATTTACAATGAATAGAAAATGTTACTTTGACATTTTGTAACTGTTACAACTAGACTTACAAAATAGGCGAGACATAAATGTATTACTAAAGTGTAGTTAAACTATTATACAATTGTGAAATCTTATTGACGAGGTTTTGTAGAAAGAAATAAAGAAAAAAAAGAAGAAGACAGTATTATGCAAATGTTCATTGTCATTCTTATTATTTTTTTTTAAGGACAATTTCAACATGAACAAAATGAAAAAGGTATTCATCTGATTTGCTTAGTTGTAAAAAAAGCTTCATGTGTATGACGAGTTAGGTGCAAGTGATAGTTATAAGACAATGAGGCTTTAGAAATGAATTAGTAAGAAGTCTAAGGAAATACTATGCATGAAATCGAGCTCCATTTAGTGATAAAGTTAAACAATTTACTAGCAAAAACTGGTGAGATCATGATGACTGATCGCATTTCAGGTAAGAAGATCTGAATCAGCACTCAAGACTAGACATCTTCACTGTTCGCCTTATTCATTTACATGATTCAGTCGTGAGGGGTATTGGAGAAGCAAAATAACTTTTTCTTTTTTGATTTCAGCTTGATTCCACATCGTATTTTTGGTACAAGTATGGAATTTTCAGAGTGTGATATCGGTAGCCCAAATTTTGCAGGCCAACCATAGATATCAGGAGTGCGTGAGCAGGGGATCCAACTTCAGACCATGTGAATGGTCGGCAAGAATCTTAACCCACTGTGCCACCAACGCACTTGGTAAAGTCAAACGCCTTAAGATGAAGCAAAGTTGGCTTGTGAAGCTATGTCGATTGAGATAAAGAAGCCACGTGTTATGCATACCGAACCAGCGCCTACCTCCGCCAGTATATGTTAGCTGACATAGGATAAGGTTGGAAAAGTGTTAGGCGTGGTTAAACCAACACCTCCGGTGTTGCTTTCATTTTAGCCACATGTGGAGGTGGAGGTTTCCCTGTGGCGGTCCTCGGGATTCTAAGAACCGATGACTTGAGACTTTTCATGATACGGCTCAAAATCATTCACAATAACTTAGATGCATTCACTCTTCGTAATCTCGCATATCTACTAAACTGGCATGTTTACTATTCTTTCTCCCTTTCATTTGGGTTTGTTATAGCTGTTTTGAATTTTTCTGTCTATCTTTCTTATGTCTACTTGTGTGCTACATGGAGTGTGACAACTTGCACTGATGCATTTCTGTCAGTCAAGAAGGAGTCTTTTCGCATAGTGAAGATAGTTTTTGCAAATCTTGTATGTTAACCTGAGTGAAGAATGTTGAATTTAAGAGAGCTCTTATAACAGTAGTTCTTGCACAGATCAACTTTTAACTTCTAGTAGTGAGATATAGTACACTGTAATATCGTATCATCCAAGTTGATGAGCACATTGAGGAGATGATCGACAGTCACAGTTACCGATCAATACTCATCTATTCACACTTACAAGTAATGTTAATTTGGTAGGTGAATCACATGCTCCAATACCCCCCCGTCCATAGTAGCAGACAATAAAATGATTTAGTTTTTAACCATACAGTAACTTGAAGTTTTAGGAAGAGAATTAGATCAATAAAACACCACATTTGATACTACTGACTGCTTTTGAAAACTAACCTGCTGTGCAGTCATTATTATTATTATTATTACTATCATAACTCATTAGATTACACCCAACTAAAAGTTACTTTAGTAACTGCACTGTAAGAAATTAAACCCCTGAAGTAGTTTAATCTATTACCAGTTCACCCAAGTAACCAGCCAGAATATTAGGGGGGTTCCGACTGACACGTTTTGAATCTAGTACACCACTGATGAACTCGGCCATAAAATGAGTGAATTGGCCATCTGGTGGTTAGATCACTTCGATCTGGTGTTAACGAGCACCACTGGTTGATGTGAGTGCTACCCAACCACTCATGTCTGTCTGTCTGGATTCAACATAGAACTTGGCACCGAAGTGCACCAGTTCGAGTTGCCACGTTCCAAATAGCACACAAAGGTAGACAAGAAGATGAGTGGAGAGAATCAATAGAGTTTGACAAGTATAAGAGTGAAACAGAATGGGTAATGGTAGAAAGAAATATGAAAGATTACAGAGACTGAATACATCTGCGCCATTGACAGCGATTTTGAGCCATGTCACCTATTGTCTCCAGCCATTAATTCTTAGAGTCCCGAGGGCCCCAACCCGGAGTCTGCATCTCCCTACCTGACTCAGTTTAACTGTCAAGGATTTCATGGATTGATGCCATGTTTTGTTTGGCCACCACTTACTCTTTTCCAACCTCCACCTATATCAGATAGTAATGCCCGTCGGGGGAGGCGATGGTTAGGCATGCACAGTACGTGAACTAGCCATCTCGATCTATGTAGCTTTATAGCCTCGTCGATTGATTTTCTCTCTTTGCCCAACACTCTACGCCTAACGTCAACATTACTTACCTTATTATACCACCTAACGTGAGAAAGAGATCGCAGACATCTATGTTCGAAAGCAGTCAACCTTTTCATGTCTTCAACTCGTATTGGCCATGTTTCAGAGTCATAGAGAAGGACGGAGCGAACTGCTGAGCAGTACACACGTCCCTTGGTTGATAGCCGGATGTCACGCCTACGTCAGAGATGGTGTAAGTCAGCGAAAGCAGCTCGAGCTTTTTGGATCCGTGCTGAGATTTCATCGCCAATCAGTCCGTTGGTGCTAATAAAACTTCCCAAATAGGTGAAGTGGTCAACATGTTCTATCACTTCACTCCCTATCACTAAGCTAGGAGTTGACGTAGTCCAGTCCTGTAGCAGCATCTTACATTTTACAGGGGCGAATCGCATGCTGCTCAAGGTGTTCAGAAGACTCTGCATTTCGTCAGAATCCTCCCCTAACAGGACTATGTCATCTGCATATTCTAAGTCCATAAGACTATTCCCCGTAACAAGTCGATTCCTAAGTCGTTAAGTTCAGTTAAGATACTTCCATTAGCATATCTATGATGAAGTTAAACAGAAATGGGGAAAGTGGACATTCCTGCCGGAAACCACTGGTTGTTATCAATTCAGAAGACAATTCCCCATAAGCCCTTACACGGCTACATGAGTTTGAATAGAGTGCCTTGATTAGTGCAATGAACTTTCTTGGCACCACCCACTCATGTCGATGAAAACCAATCAGTAGTATATAGCCTGATGTAATTTATATTCAAGGAATTATATGTACATATTAGGTAATTTGTTTAGTGTTATTAAACATAGGACATTCCTTGAAATCAGCTGTGGATGCCCATTGAGTCTTACTGATATAATTAACATTATATCAGTAAGATTATATATATTATTATTATATTATATGATATTTGATCATTAAAATATACTCAAAGTTCATCGATTTCTTAGCACTCATCAGAAAAATGATATTATTTGAATTCAATTCAATTTATTATTTTATTTGGTTAACACAATATCGCATAAGATGTCAATCGGCATCAAATTACATTAATGATAATTAATGTCTCCATTTGTAGAGTTTATTTGATACAGATTGAAGGTGTCAGTTATCATTATCTGATGCATAAAGCAGATCTAGATCAATTATTTCTAATTAAATGTCACCAACTATCTGAAACACTCTTAATTAACTAACTTATCGACTTGATAGATAATTTCTTGTATGTTTAAGAAAATCCATTTTACAGAATGCATAAAGCATTAGCAGGCGTTTTATGAATATTAATTATTAAAACACAAAATTGGTAAGTTGTGAGCCACAAGAGACTAGCTACACAAAATCTTGTAATTTGTGCACGGACTGAGATACTGCTAGGACGGCCTTACATTGAAGCAAATGGCTAAATTCAGGGGCCACTCACCTCCGCCTTCAGCCTGTGACTTGAAGCCTGATCCACAAAGCAGTATAGCAGCGTCAGGAATTGTGTTTCCATCGTTGATGGTGACCAAAAAAGGATTCTGGACCACGTAGTACACCAGAGGTTTAGAATCACGGTTTTTCAGCTTGCCTAGGTAGACCAGAATGTCTACCAGTTCGGCCGTTGGCATCAGATGTTTGCATTCACTCTTTTACTGTTGTGGGGAACACCTCCACCATGGTGTGAAATCAGAGAATAGAATTTAACTGCCAGAGGCTGTGAATACGCATAGTCAGATTAGAGCAATTTGGAGATGGAAATCAAGGTGTAACCATTCTCAGACGTACGAGATCGTTTATAGGGGTTATACATAAGTGTAGACTATTAACACACACACACATACAAGCACACACAACTGATTAGTTCACGATACAATTAGCATAACAACTTACTTCTGAAATTTTGTACTGATCAAAGAGGTAACATGTAAAATATCTTCAAGAACAAAATGATCTTCTTCTAATAAAATAAAGTAGCCATTATAGTATTTAGTAGGATAAAAATGTTCAAGAATAAACTGGATCTAAAAGAGAAATGCAAAAACCAAGTTATATATATATATATATATATATATATATATATATATGAATGTAAGCATAATGAATTGCATTTATCATATAGTACCTGAGTACTATTAAAAGCTTGGCTGAAACTATATCTAATACACATACAAATATTCAGTGAGTTAACCTGATCAAAATGGACTCATTTTGTATGTAGATATAGAAAATTGATCAAAACAACAACCAACAAAGCTTAATCAAAAAAGTTAACTAGACTATTTAACCTTGACATACATTATTAGTCTATTTTATAGTTAACTGACTTAAAAAAGAATGTTCTTAAAAGCACGTATTGGCTATAGAGTATTAGAGTAACAAAATGCGTTCAATTAGCGTGACTTCTCGAAAGCAAAGACTGAAGGATTATTACTTATTGTATTATTCATTTCTTTGGATTCCAAGTGGAACACATAAGAATTCAACCTTGAGCTTTGAGGTTTTGGTAGTATTAGTAATAGTAGTGTAACAACAGAAGACGAGGGCCAGGCAACAGATCGTTTATTGAAACACTCAAGAGATATTTTTAGATTTTTATGTACATTATTGTTAACGTTATTGTTAGCAGAGAAGCCACCTTTTGTGATTGATCGTTTTCTTGCTCAAGGTTATTCTGTCATCTGTTTGTGGCCGTTTCCTAGAAAGTTAAGCCATATATCTGTGAATCGTATCTGCACACGCTAAGTTTGCTGTGATTGGTTGGTGAGTTCCTCAAGGTTAAACTTTGTTATTGTTCTATCTGGTGACATTGACGTTAATTGCCGTCTACCACTTTTAGCTAGCAGACAGCTCTCACCACAGTAGTGGTAATGCTACTTTTACGGGATAGATGGGCTGCTAGACTGCCACTCAACCATCCCTCTTCATCGGAGTTTGGCAGTGTATCAGTAGGGAATCAGTTCCAGACCACAAATCACTGAAACACTGGAGTACAGGCCAGAGAAGAAAATTGATTATGGCGTAACTGTTTAAGAGAAAAAAAGTTCTATATGTTGGTGCATATTACTTTGCAACTCTCCATAGCACACCACAGTTGATATTTTAAGCTTGCTTATTCAAATGATACCGTTATAGTATTCAGTAGTTTATTATATTATAATTATTGTTCCCTTGGGTTCCTAGTGGAACATAGGGCTTCAAATGCACACCTCCACTTGCTTCTGTCTTCTGCTGAACTTTTCACCTCCATCCATGTTAGTCCATACTATTTCAACTCCTCTTCACACGATCTCCTCCATGTCACCCATCCTTGGACGTCCCACTCTCCGCTTCCCTTTCGGCCTGGCTCCACTCGAGCAATGGCCTGACGCTCGCGCAATATCACCCAGCGGCCTCCTCAACGAGCGAGTGTCCAATCCATCTCCACTTTCTCCTGCATATTTGTTGGGTGACTGGTTCTTGTTTTCTTTCTTCCCATAGTTTCTTGTTGGCGATTCTTTCCGGCCCGGCCATCTGATCTTCAGTATAGAGCCAGTGAAGACAGTTGTTGGTTGATAAAGGTCTGCAACAGGCTGTTGGAAATATTCTTTGTGACCCGCCCGCCAACTTTCTGATCCGTATAGAAGAACTGACTGACTTGGCGTTTGTATTGAAAATCCGACTAAATTTTGTTGATGCTGACTGAGTGAAGAAGATTTCCAGATTGGTTGTTTCAGGTTGATGATGTTGATGTGTTTCTCGCCTTCCTGATTTGATTCTCGATTTGACATCCTCCTCCGTTCCGACTTCCTGTAGTTGAGACAGTGCTCCCTAGATAAGTGGATGAAATTACCTCTTTCAAATCCCTCCCGTTGATAGTGATTGGCACTGGATGTTGCTGTTGTTGTTGTTGGTGGTGGTTGGTTATTTTCATAACCTGCGTCTTTTCTATATTCACCTGGAGTCCTGTCTTTGCTGCTTCTTCGACCAGTTTTTCGGTTTTCGCTTGTAAGTCTTCGATTTTGTGTGACATCAAACACAAATCATCCACGCGCGAAATCCAGGTCTTGTAGGTTCTTCACGTCTGTTGATCCCTGTCTGCTAGTTTCCCACTGTCTGACGCATAATCTAGTCAGTCCACCACAATTAGGAATATCATTGTGATAATAAGCACCCTTGTTCGACTCCTGTGTTTACTTCAACGCCTCGCTGAGTTTTCCGTTGTGGATCACTTGACAGTGCCGTTGTCGCACAGCTGTTGAATAAGATTGATGAATATTTGGGGTACGCCGTAGTACTCAAGTAGTCTACAAATTACTTCACGGTCAACGCTATCGAAGGCTTTCTCAAAGTCTATAAAGTTGAAATAGAGGTTTGATTGCCATTCCATCCTTTGTTCTATGATGATGATGCGTAGAGTTGCAATTTGGTCAGTACATGATTTACCTTTCCTGAATCCACCTTGTTCTGGTCGAAGTTCTGTATCCAGTGCGTCCTTTAATCTCTCCACGATGATGCGGCTCAGGATTTTACTTGGCGTCGACAGAAGCATGATCGAAATGATAGTTAGGCAGTAGGCAATTAATCTTGGTACATCTGTTATGTGCTGTCGAGATTATTAGGAGTTTGTTCACACTCTTCCTAACAAGTAAACTGTTAAAAATAGTCACAACCTTTGTATATTTAGACAGTTATGTGAGTGACAATTGTGTGTGTGTGTGATGATAAAGATCCATAATAGTATATTAGAAATGGAGGTGAAATATACAAATTTGAATCATCCATAGTGTGATATCACAATATTACACCTGCTATGAAACACTGAGTTTACAAAGCTTAGTTATATACAATCTTGACCTACATCTATAAATTCTGGTCCCTCCGATCGAACAATGTCAGATGACTCCGACGGTATACGACAATTTATATGCAGTTAATATACCAACCAAGAGAGGTTGAAATCCAAAGGCATCGTTTGTTAGTAAAATGAATAGCTGACTAAAAGTTTGTTACAACAAATTATAATCACTACTAATCAAAATATTAAACTTCGTTTTCAGTTCAGTTTGTTTGAGTGATACCAATGTTCTATATTTGAAATAAATTTAAATAAAAATTTTAGATTACTACTTGCTGTTGGCGCATGATGAGTACTCATGTGCACAACGGGTACCAAGTTCATATATGCATATATATATATATATTCATAGTAAATAAGTAAAATCACTTGTCTAAAATGTCGAATAAAAGACAAAGTAGTACTCACTTTCCACAACCAATGATTTTTAATTTGAGTGAATCGTGATTCACGATAATGTTTATATGTATCTGGCCAATCAGCATTTAAACACCCAATAATTTTAGCTCTAAAAATAAAATATACAAAATTCAAAATTATAAGGTTATACTAAACAATGTATGCACGAAAGTACAACACATTTTCTCTGAGAGTTTGACAACAACATAATAGTTCTATGAAGAAAATCAATAACTTTTTAGTAAACAAAAGTAAAAATAATTGTGAAACTAGTAATGATAACATAAACAAGAGAGAGAATATAAGTCATCCACTCTTAGACCATATAGGGAAGGTACATCTGAGATCCTCCCTACGTAGGATTCTGAATAAAGCAGGAATTAGAGTGGCATTCAAACCTACAAACTCACTCAGGGACAAGCTCTGTAGGTTAAAGGACCCTGTCGTTTGACCCAATTGGACAGAATTATATAATTTACAAAATACCCGGCAATGACTGTGAGAGAGGTCAACTACATAGGTCAAACTAGTAGGTCAGGGGTAGTCAGATTGTCGGAAGATAAGAATTTAGCTAAAGGAAGAATGGTTGACCCCAACGGAGAAGATAAGTAATTTAGGAAAAAGCTCACCACTACATTGCACTTCACGCATTAACACACAACCACAAAATAGGGTGAGAGAGAGTTGAAATTCTAAAAAGTAATCTATGTAGGTGGAGAGAGAGAGAGATTGATTACTGAATCCTTGTTCATCGAGTATACATACAATATACACATGCAATAGGAATGACTTATCGTTCATACCAGAAATATAGGAAATACTACTACAAATCAAATGAAGCGATGGAAAATAATGGAATTATATAAACGAAGTTACAAAGTTGTGTGAGTACCTTGATATGATTATGAGCAATAAATTGTGCTCGAAACGTCATCAGTAAACATTACTGTATTACACTGCGAGACTTTATCAAAACAAATTGAACCATAATGTAATTATACTCTACCACAGTGCACAAGTTTTATTCTTTTAACTTCATAAATGATCAAGTACTACCGACCTTGGTCACCAAATGCTTTCATTTGACCACGCGTTTATATGCCTATGATAGATAAGTCCTGCTAACTGCCTTGATACCATGGCAAGGATGTTCCTCACAAAAGTGAAAGAGTCAATGCAAACATCTAGCGCTTGCAACTGGCCTCATGAGTATGCAGGTCTAGCTAGACGAGCTGGAAAACCCTGATTCTAAACCTCTGGTGTACTACAGTGTCCAAAATCTAAAAGAACCGAATGACGTAATCCGCCTGTTGTGATCACCGGAAAAGATGGGAATGCTGCTCCATCGTCTTGAGGATCAGAATTCAAAATCGGAGCTTTGGTGAGGGGTGACCTCCCTCAGACGGTCACTTACTCCAGTGTGTAGGCGGCGTTCAGGCAGTATCTCGGCCCAAGCACAAACTATGAAATTTTGTGAGGTGCATCTCTTGCTGCGCAACACTTCCCGACTTCGCGTTTTAATAAATATGAATAACAACAATCTGTTTAGAAATTTTTTATACCTTCACGTTCCCAGTGGAATATAGTGCTTCAAGCTAGAGCTTTGAAGTTTCGGTAGCAGCGGTGTTTATTTATTTTTACGGGATGGGGGTGCCAGCCTAATGCCCACCCTTCCCTCTTTATCAGTCTTATAACTGGTTTAGTGACGTAAGAGAGTGGGTCGGCCGGGGATTGAGCTCCGGACCGCATGAGGCACGATTGGCAAGCATCCTACCGCTGTACCACCGAAGTACGAACAATAACAATGGTAATAATAAGCTAATCTATCTAACTAACTAACTAGTTTCGTGATCTTCAATGATTCGTTGAATGATTTCATTTCTTGACAAAATCTATATTAAAATGTCTCTCTTTTTAATTTCTCATGAGTTTATCATTATATTGATGTATGTATGTATGTGTGTATAGATGTGTGCATGAGAAGAGCTTAGTTCACAACAAATCATATTGTGAACACTAACACAAACGAGTTCATTGTATTCGACATTCTAGACAATTACACTGATATGAAGAGTTTAGAGATTAAATGAATTTCTTCTTTATATATATATCACAGTTACGATTGATTTTTATTTTTATCCAATCTGATATTTTAATCTTTTGAGAAATGAATCAGAGAAAAAAAAACAACACAACATACAAAACAAACAAAAGTATACGTGATCAATAAAATGAAACTCTTCTTAAAAACTTCGACAATACAACGAACGAATGGCTGTAGTGTGAATGAAGCCATGCGTGTGTATGAAAAGCATACAGCAGTGCATTTAAGCACGGATATAAAAACTAATACTCATCCCTTTACACTATTATTTTATTAAAGGTCTATTTTCTGTGTATATTTCCTTGTTAAATAATAATCTCTATAATGTGTGATAAGTAGTGTGATTTATAAAACTATAATACTCTCTACTTAAACCGATTAGGTATTTATTTATTCTTCAAGTTAAATAATGAGTCTATATTATTTTACACCACCACAGTAATTATCGCCAATATTTCAGTCAACACTAAATCCAACATATTTTGTATAATCCGATCTTATTCTGACTAACATTTCTCGAGGATAGTCCTCTCTCTGCTTAAGATTTAATTAATTAATTAACTAATTAATTCAAGTATTGGTTTGTAGGGATTCAATTGATTGATTGATTGATTGAACAAAGCATGGAATGGCAATCACCTCTCTATCTCAACTTCATCGACTTTGAAAAGGCCTTCAGCGGACAGCGTCGATCGAGAGCTGATTTGGCAACTACCTCGCTACTACCAAGGGGTGCCATCGACAATTATACATCTCATCCAACAGTTGTACGACAATGCTGCATGCCAAGTAATCCACAACGAGAAACTTGCGGAAGCCTTTGAAGTGAGGACGGGAGTAAGGCAAGGCTGTCTTTTATCACCAATGATCTTCCTGATTGCAGTAGATTGGATAATGCGACAGACAGCAGCGGGCAATGAGGAAACAGGCATAAAATGGACTCACACAAAAAACTTGGAGGATCTGGATTTCGCCGATGATATATGTCTGATTTCCCACAAACTGGAAGATATGCAAGTGAAAAGCAACAAGCTGGCAGGAGAAGCATCAAAGATAGGACTTCAGGTGAACATAGATAAAACAGAGGTGATGAAGATTCCTAGCCAACAGCAACAACAACAACAGACAACAATCAGAATAAATGGGAAGAACCTGAAAGAAACAAACTCCTTTACCTACCTACCTGGGAAGCATCGTTTCAACTACAGGCGGATGATGTACCAAAGCCAAAATCGAAAAAGCAAGACAAGCTTTCACTACTCTTAAGTCTGTGTGGAGGTCAACAGCACTCACCATCAAAAATAAGATCCGGATTTTTAACTCCAATGTCAAGTCAGTGCCACTATACGGATTAGAGACTTGGCGCGTCATAAAGATCATCTCAAACAGACTACAGAGCTTCATTAACAGCTGTCTTCGCTCAATACTCAAGATCAGATGGCCAGCCAGAAAAGATCAGCAACAGGGATCTCTGGGAGCGAACCAATCAGGAACCGATTGTGAAACAAATAGGCAGGAAGAAATGGAGATGGATTGGCCATACGCTGAAGAAACCATCAAGTGACATCACTAGACAAGCCCTCGAGTGGAACCCGAAAGGGAAGCGGTGAGTTGGTCGTCAGTGCGAGGATGGGGTGACTTGGAGGAGGTCATGTGAAGAGGAGATGAAAGCATGTGGGCAGACTTGGAGCGGGGTGAAAAAGTTGGCAGAAAACCGAAGGCAATGGAGACGCGCGGCTGAAGCCCTATGTTCCTCTAGGAATTAACGGTTATAATAATATATAAGAATAATTTCATCATGAGCTGGCATAGATTACAGAACCACTGGAAAATCAGCTGGGAGTACTAGACAGCTGTTTCGTTCTAGTTTGGGACTCCCCACCGTCACGCACACACCGGGGGTTCGAACCAAGGACCTTCTGGTTACCATAAAGACACTGGGACTCAATCCAATGGCCCACGGGAAGTCGTGACCACCAGGGTACAGCAGGTTGGGCGTGAGGACAAATACGAGAGCAAACAAAAATAGGACAAGTTAAATAATAACAGTATAAACGCCTACGAAAAGTTTTATTCAAAAGATATTGCACAATAACAAAAAGGTGAGAAAATCGACTACTTGAAAAACAAAACAAAATGGATTCGTTTTGCTTTTTATTTTAAGGAAAAGAATAAAAACGGTAAACTTGTGAATTATTTTAATGTTTTTTTTTAACTTCTCATGATTTGAACTGGCTAGCTAACCCACCGGGAAAAAAGCGTATTTTGTCCTTAAAAAAAGGAGAAATCTAACTGTGGAGGGTACTACTGTTAACATTTGCCAGTAATATGTAAAGAGACATTAATCAGCATATAAACATCAAATAGTAGGGAGATACATATTTGATGTCAGAGAAGGCAGATGGTACAGCGTTGTGGAGATACATGGGAGACGTGAAAGGAACACTATCTGAAGTCCAAAAGTACCACAACACGAAGATCTACGCAAATAGTGTGTTGAAGATAAGGTATACATAATTTAGCTTTATAGACGACCCACTCATCGCTTCCCACTGGGATACAACACTGTAGCATCTGTTGTTATAAATGCTACAGCGTTATATTCACTAGGCTGCTTTACAACGAGAAGTTGAACTTAAGTTTTTAACTTTTCCTGTGGCCTTCGAGTGGAATCCCAAGAGGGGAGCGATGAGTGTGTCGTCCGAAGGTGATATGGAGGAGATGAGAGATTGTTGACAATCGTGGTTCAAGCTGAAGAGGACGGCAGACGATAGGACAAAGTGGAAATGTGTTGTTGAAGACCTATGTTCCACTAGGAACTCAAGGGGATAATAATAGTAATAATTTAACTTTACCTGCCAATATGTATTCCAAACCCAAAACAAATAGGTGGCATAGCAGTTCTTAAATATTTCACGGTTCAGCTCAAACTTCTGCCAATGCAACCTGAGTAACTGTTGTAATCACAGGCTCATAGACATCGTGTGTCTCATGAGGGAATAGATATCATATCTTTTGACGGCCAGTCGATGTCATGAGGACATAGATAGATTTAAGTGATTGTAGGTGACATTGTACGAGCCGAAACTGATATCCTCTTCGTCTTTGCACTCACAAGCATAAACTGGCTGTCAAAAGACATATCATCTATTCCCTCGTATAGAAGCATGCAGATAACTCCGGACACCAATCCACTGGGAAAATGTAAGAATTCTGGAAAAAATAAACACTGAAAATGCCAGGGAATTCCCAGGATTCTGGTACTCAGACGAGTCTGCAATCATCAAGCACATCGACATGAATTAAATTTGTCAAACCATAAAAAAAACTTATATGGACGAAAGGTCAACCGTCAGGTCAACAGAGTAATCAATACCAATTCAAGTAGAGAAGAAAGTAAGACAGTTTCCAGAAGCTCAAGATCACCATGACAGACGGTTAATAATCTCAAACTGGAGCCTGTACTCAAGATGCTGCTTAAAAAGACAATGAAATCTTTCTAATTAAACTACTCACAACAGAGAAAAAACTGATATAAGTGTAAAACTTGGGCACTGTGGCAGAATATAACTCCATTATCAACAAGATTTTATTGTGATAAGTCACACAGTGTTACACAGTAATATTAATTGATAACCTTTCGAGCACAAATTATTGCCACTCATAATCATGTCAATTTTACTCACACAACTTTTTTCCCTCATTTATATACATGTATGGAATCGATTAGATATTTGAATAAAATCAATATAGGATAAGGTACATTCAGAAATAATAATAATATGAGTGTTATTGATCTATTACAATCAGATGGGAAATAAGACGAGTGTTTTTATAGTCATAATGAGTTACTTGTTGGAATGTCGTGATGTGCTTGAATTGAAATAGAACTTTACGATTATTTATTATCCTCCTTTGCTTTGACTGGCGGCAATAATATCTTCCATATTTCTGGTATTCGTATTGAGTCATTTCTGTTGCATGTGTTGGGTGTAGACACGATGAACAAGGATTCAGTAATCAACATCTCTCTCTCTCTCTCCACCTACCTAGATTACGTTTTAGAATGTTAACCCTCTCCCACCATGCTATTGTGTGGTTGTGTGTTCATGCGTGAAGTGCAATGCAATGCTGAGGGTTTTCCCAAATTACTTAGCTTCTCGGGGTCAACCATTCTTCCCCCAGCTGAATTCTTATCTTCCGACAATCTCACTACCCCTGACCTACTAGTCTGACCTATGTAGTTGATCCAACTCACAGTCATTGCAGGGTATTTTGTAAATTATATAATTCTGTCTAATTGGGTCAAACGACAGGGTCCTTTAACCTGCACAGCTTGTCCCTGAGTGGGCTTATAGGTCTAAATGCCACCCTAATTCCTGCTTTATTCAAAATCCTACGTAGAGAGGATCTCAGATGTCCCCTCCTTATATGGTATAACAGTGGATGACTTATGTTCCCTCTCTTATTTATTTTATAATTGCTAGTTTCACAATTGCTTTTAGTTTGCTTTTGGCCTTTACTGATCTTCCTAATGAGTTTTGTAGGATAGTTATTCAACGCCAACGCTTCTTCTATCTGTTTTTTCGTCATTTAGGTCTTTTCTTGTGCTACCAGTCCTACTGTTCGGTTTGTTATACACTTAACTAAGCCTCCCTTAACATTTAACGGATGAGACGATTTAAAGTCTAAATATCTATTAGAATGCGTTGGTTTTCTATAAACCCCAGTGTGTATTTTACTTTCATCTATTCTTCTTGTTCATTTTCCGATTGAAATGTGAATTTTATTTCCTATACTAGTGAGTTTATATGTGTCAAGAAGCTAGATATATGTTCTGTTTTTAACACTGAGTGAAAGTGTCATCCACATATCTCCACCATATTTTCGGAGTACAGTGAAATGCGATGTTTTAGCAAACTGGATATGACAAAGTAGACAGGGTAGGATTGCAAACAGCAAAATTACTAACTGGAAATCAAGGAGTTAATATCAACAAGCCTGACCACCTCCTCCATTTATGCTTATTTTTTCTAAACTTTTCTCCCTTATTTTCTAACTGGAATAAAGAAATAACAACGAAACGAAACCTAAAACGTTTCTTAGGCAAACAGCTAAACGAATTCATTTGTTCCCTCTTAGAAATATTTGCATGATTGCAAAAACAAAAAAAACGAATACAACCACTTACTTATCTGGTGACAGTCGACTTTCACAATCTCTTGGATCAGTACCAGGAAAGGAATTTGGAAATATTTGAGTTGAATGAGGATAGAAAATTTGTACAGTACGCGTAAAGCGAATAGAGGCAATTAGATTATTCATTTCATCAGAATAAAAATCATGCGAGAAAATAACCAATGCCTTTTCAATTCCTTTCACTCGTCTTAATGATTCAATTAATAAAGTTAACTCGAGAGTTCTATTATGGACCTGAATAGAGGAGAGAGAAAATAAAAAATCGATAAAAATAAGGTAGGAAAACATATGATGAATGAGGTTAGTTAACACGTTGAGAACTCAATTACCTGGTAACGAACGGGCTGTGAAACATGCTTATTATTATGCGAGAGAGAGAGAGAGCTAATGATACTGCCCGGTTGATCAATGCTTAAGCTAATGCGTCACATGTTTAAATCCGTTATCGGGATTTAGTTTAGATCCCATAGACCACTGGGATTATTAGCTACACAGCACGCTACCATTGCACCACTTTGCTCTGAAAAAGACGACTACTTTCATTCTACAACACATATATTACCAATTACAATAAAGTTGAGAGAAAGCACTAGGGATATATCAGTGAGTTATATTACTCCGAGTCGCCAAGATTTGTGCGAATAGATAAATGATTGCAGAAAGAAACGAGAAATTACATAACTTCTATAGAACTGCGTTAAGTGTCCACACAAACACTTTTAGTCTATAAAGCCTTAATTGCCACATTTTTCCGATAGATTGGTGGGTAGATTACTACGGGTCACAGAGTATCTTGATGTCCCTGCCTAACCTAACAGATTTCTCCGTATCTTTTATGTTAATTTTTTTTTAACTGTGAATTGTAACCTTCTGTTTCTCTTGATTATGACAGCAGTGAATCATAGGAGGCTGAGTAATAATGAACCCTTGAAACCTGAAACATTTGGAGAATAGTAACACCATCACCTGGCGAAACAATAATAATAGTTTTCATAGCTGGTAAAGGATTATATAGTCAATCCTTAATTTCAATCCATGACAAGATCAGCCTTGAAATCAATCCAGCCTCTGAAACCAACAAATTAAGCATTCAGGTGGTATTAAGAGTTTCAGTATAAAGAGGAAAAGATTTTCAAGATGTATTTTGTCCTAATTTAGTTGGCAACGACTTTCACCACTGAAATACATTAAACCTATTCAAGTATGGGTTTGTAGGGATTTGACTGATTGGTTACAGGATTTCATCATGAGCCGACATCGGTTAAAGAATCATTGGAAAACCTGGAATTACTGGATAGTTGTTTCATCGTAGTTTGGGACTCTTCACAACACGCACCCACTGGGGTTCGAACCCAGGACCTTCTGGTTACAAGCGAACTCGTAGACCAATAAGCCACTGAGACTCGATCCAATGGCCCATGAATTCCAACTTCTGCCAATTCACGACATAGCGCAACCGCTAGCCAATGTCTTCGGCTAGTATTTGTCCTCACACCTGACCTGGTGCACCCTACTGGTCACGACATTCCACTGGATATAGAACGTCCTGAGTTCGAACCCGGTGGGTGCGTACTAACGAAGAGCCCCAAACTAGGACGAAACACCTGTCCAGTACTCCCAGTTTTTCCAATGGTTCTTTAACCAGTGTCAGCTCATGATGAAATCCTGTAACCATCAACCAAATCCCTACAAACCAATACTAGAAAGTTAATCTACTAAGCCAATGAACCACAATACTATTTGGTTAACACACTTAAGACATCACAGTACTATAGAGGTTATGCTTCACTGACCAACTTATATGGGTATAAATTCCTCTTTTGAATAACTTTTATGCCAAATTATAGTGTATAGCGAATAGCTCTAAAAGAATATACTTTCGCCACTTCAGTTGATGGTGACTGACCAGCAGTCAAAACTATGCGGTACTCGTCAGATGGATGAACCTGAGTCCTCAGTGAGCACTTTTGCTCTCCTTTTTGAGGCTGGAAACCTGCACTCATCATTTCAAACGCCTAGTGGATAATGCTTTGGCTGGGGGGGGGGGGTTGAGACTCTAAGAATCAATGAGTGGAGATGACCTACAACAGTTCATCATAGAACAGCTATATATATATATATTACCATCTTTCGAATAATAATAATAAGCTACACTGATTTTTAATCGATTATTCTGTCCATTATACACACCAATACATGTCATTCCATTTTTGTTACCTTTATTCAAAACCATTTTCGGAGTGTGACAATATGATGAATTAATGCAGTTAATTGCAAGATTCTAACGATTAGTTAGTTATAAAACAGTACTCAAGTATTGTGTGCATTTCGCTGTATCACCTTTTTCCAACCTTAAAGAATTTAAATTTATTGAATGTTAAGAATTTCTAATAAATAACAGAAATGGTTTAGGACCATTCGGATTCTTTCAATCTTACCTTATATATATATATATATATATATATATATATATATATATATATATATATATATATATTGACCATGTCAACTACTGTCTAGTTTAAATATGAATTGATCAATGAGTCGTATTATTGTTCTAGAGAAGAATGTTTTCATCATATGATAACAAAACGACAACTGATGTTGAAGAAAACATTGATGAGAAAGTAAAATTAACTTGCCTGTATTAAAATTACGTGTTCAGGAGCAGATTTTATATGATTGAAATTATCTTTGGTTGGTAGGTGGCCATAAATATCTTCATTCTGTACAAATTGATCTGAGTTAAGACTTGAAATATATTGGCGTAAATTCGAAATAGAAGTGATCGATTGTAGATGAGACGGTGTATTTGAAATTCCTAATGATTTGTTTAGCACAAATGTTTTGTTTATAAGATGTTGGCTGAGGATAGGTTGTGACCACAGGGAATTCTACAGGAAATAAAGCGGAATTAACAAAATATCATGAGTTGTTGTATATGGGAGGGACTATAGGAGAATTTATGAGCCCAAATAGCTCAGTGGTAACGTCTGTGACTGCAGTACTCACGAGGTGACGCGGGTTCGAATCTCAGAAGCGACATGAGTTCCTTCAAGGTCGCAGCTACGCCTTGCTCACTGGCGATTGCCAACTAGCACGAAACCTAGGTCGAAGGCTTTCTGCCGACTGTCTCTAACTATCCAATATTGACAATATGTATATTTAAAGGACGGGTGCTGTGAGCTTGCTCAACCCCGTCCACGGGTCGGCCTTGTATTGCATTACCTCGAGGATTGGCCCATTTTGTGCGTCTGTGGCATAGCGGTTAGGACGCTCGTCGACCATGCATATGGTCCGGGGTTCAGTCCCCGGTCGACGCACTCCTATACCTCGCTAAGCCTGAAATAATGCTGGTAAAGAGGAAAGGTTGGGCATGAGGTTAGCAACCCCATCCTGTAAAAATCAAACACTGCTACAGAAACTTCAAGCCACTAGCTTGAAGCCCTATGTTCCACTGGGAACATGAAGGAAAAAAATAGGAGAATTTATACACAGCTAAAATACTTATTCTCAAACAGTTAAGAAATCTATTAATAGATACCAGTCAACAACATATGCGAGTGCACAAAATTAACGTTGAATAAAAGAAAAAAACACCAAATAAAGACGCAAAAACAGAGTTGCACATGAACTATGAGAATATGGTATAAGTTAAAGAAATTTCACACACCTTTTCACTGATGTCTGATGATTTCGCTCTCTAGACATTTAAAATAATAAGGACTAAACTTCTTTGATTTTAAAAGAGAATAATAAAATACAAATCAGTGAAACTTATTATTTGAAAGATGACGTGCAGTATATACAACTGGTGTATAATGAACCCTTATGGATCATTTCGAAAAGTGTTCAATTATTGATTCTTAGCATCGCGAGAAGCCCAGCTAAGGCGTTAGTTAGCCACTTGGCTCTTGAAATGATGAGTGAAAGGTTCCAGCCTCGTTGGGAGTGAAAGTGACCATTGAGTTCACTTAAACACACGAACTTCATACGCAATTCTTCTCTAATACATCCAAATATTTTAAATACGTATATAATTCCACTTTATTTTTATTAATATTTATATTCGTTTGTGAATAAATCAGTTTCTAATAGTGTTTCCAAAATCACATTAGTAATGTTTAACTAGTAACCCATGAAACCTGATGACTGATGAGAAGTTACCAATTAGCTCAATGCATCAACTGTTAACAATACATTTGAATACTTACTAAGAGTAGAAATTATGGCGCACATCACTGCACTCCCCTCAAGTATATAACTGTTGAAAACTACCGTTAAGATAATACCAGTTTGTGTAAGAGTACGGTTTATAAACTTATGCAGTAAAAAGTTGTGACTTTTAACCTAAATGTCTTGAATATTTTTGAGCGCTGTGCTACTTCAGTTACTAATGTATACTGAGATAGATAGGCGCGGACTTTAATACAGGTAAAAATATAAAAGAACGTCTTTACTCATAAATCCCAATCTCTCATGAATCATGTTTTCTACTTCGTTATTGAAAGATAAATGGAAACAAAATTGATGTAAAAAGCGACAGACGGTCAAGCATGAGAGATATCATATTGGTTACAGGATTTCATTATGCGCTGACATCAGTTAGAGAACTAGTGGGAAACCTGGGAGTACTGGATAGCTGTTACGTCCTAGTTTGGGACTCTTCATCAGTATGCGCCCACCGGGATTCGAATCCAGGACTTTCTGGTTACAAGGCGAGCTCGTATACCATTAAATCACTGGTATGCAAGCTCACCTTGTAACCAGAAGGTCCTGGATTCGAATCCCGGTGGGCGCATACTGATGAAGAGTCCCAAACTAGGACGAAACAGCTGTCCAGTACTCCCAAGTCTCCCACTAGTTCTCTAACTGACGTCAGCTCATGGTGAAATCCTGTAACCAATCAAATCCCTACAAACCAACACTTGAAGATATCATATTGTTAAATCAATGAATTTTAACACCACAAAAGTTGCACTAAAATAATAGAATTTCCTGAAAAGATAGATGGTTATATAGGAAGTTATCCACGAAACAAGCAATGAAACATACTAATGAAGAAAAATCTGCTTCTTTCCAAAGCCATAAGACATTGGAATTATTGTGTAACGGAGATATAGTTGAATCCCAAAGACTGCTGATGAATAATATTGACAGTAAGAATGTCAAAATTATCCAGAGGGATGACAAACGTATCCGTCGGTACATGAAAGATGCTACTTGTAGGATGATAGGCGCACCCACATTTCTGGAAAGATAAAAATACTTATTATAGACTCTTTCAAAATTACATTTAGCTGAATGGAGAGTAATGCTCACTTGAAATGAATACGCATCATCCGTATTAACTGTTCATCTGACAACACTCATGTACGATAGTTCTGAAAACAAAAGAGAGCATTGATGCACTTATAGTAATACGGCTACAGTGGTTGTCATTAAGTCAACGACTAACACAAAATATCCACTTAAGTATAAAATCACTCGTTACCGACATAGTTTATTGATAACTGATAGACTGACTGACTTTCAGCACAGAAGTGCATCAGTTCACGTTGCCTCACCCTATATATAACACAAATTTGGAGAAAAAAGAGATTCAAGAGAATTCTAATGAGGAGAAATATATAGGAGAAAGAACAGTAGCATCGAAAATCACGCCAGTTTAGGGGATATGGGATATAACGAAGAATGAATACACTTGCAGTAATGAGAAAGATTTTTAGACATATCACCAACAGTCTCCAGCTGTTAGTCCCTAGCATCCCTAGAACCTTAACCAAGTAGTCTAAACCTTCCTGATTGTCTCAAACCAACCGTCGAACACTTCATAGATTGATGCCAGGTTTTGGTTTAACCCTCCATAATTCTTTTCCAACTCAAGCATGTATCGACTAACAGTCTGTCTGTCTGTTTTCGACATAGAACTATACACAAATGTGCGGAAGTTCAAGTCACCACACTCCGTGTAGCACGCGAAGCAAGAGAAGAAAGTAAAAGAAAAGCATAATAGAAACAGTGAGCAGAGGTGTGAGACAAAGGAGTAATAAAGAAATACAAAACAGTTTCATTGGAGATCATAAGTCACAAGGAGTGGATGAATCTGCGCCACTGAGAACGATTTTGAGCCATGTCACCAATTGTTTCCAACCATAGAGTTTTACCGTCCCGAGGACCCCAGCCTGGAAGTCTACACCTTCCTACGTGGCTCAGACCAACTGTTGTGAATTTCATTGACTGGTGCCAAGATTTTGTTTGACCGCCGCTAGCTTTTTTCCAGCCTGACCCTATATCCGCTAACATTGCTCGTCGAGGGAGGCGATGACTTGGCATACGTAACACATATCCTAACCATCTCAGTCTTTGTAACTTCACGACTTCGCCGATTGATTTCCTCTGTTTACCTAGAACTCTACGCCTAACCTCAATGTTGCTCACCTTATTATGTCACTTTACACAGGAAATAGAGCGCAGGCACCTATGATCAAAGACAGCTAGTCTTTTCATGTTATCCACTCTCAGTGGCCACGTCTCACAACCATAAAGGAGGATGGAGCGGACTGATGAGCAGTACACCCGCCCTTTGGTCGATAGTCGAACATCTCGTCTACGCCAGAGTCGGCGTAAACTAACAAATGCGAAACGAGCCCCTTGTATTCGTGCTGAGATTTCGTCAGAGATCAACCCGTTGGGGCTAATGGTACTTCCCAAATAAGTGAAGCGGTTAACGTTCTCTACCACTTCACTTCCTATTTTTAAACTAGGCGTCGATGTAGTCCAGTCCTGTAACATCATCTTGCATTTGGCGGGAGCGAATCGCATGCCAAACATTCGTAGATTACAGCTCAAGGTGTTCAGAAGACTCTGCATTTCGTCAGCGTCTTCGCCTAGAAGGACTATATCATCTGCATATTCCAAGTCAACGAGATTATTCCCTGGTAGCAAGTCAATCCCTGAGTCGCTGAAGTCACTTAGGGTTAAGTCCATTAGTACATCTATGATGAAGTTGAATAGAAAAGGGGATAATGGGCATCCTTGACGGACACCACTAGTCGTCACCAGTTCAGATGACAGCTCGCCGTAAGCCCTCACCTGGCTGTATGAGTACGAGTAGAGTGCCTTAATCAGTGCAATATATTTTCTCGGAATTCCCTTTACAGCCAAGCATCTCCAGAGAACTTCTCGGTCGACAGAGTCGAATGCTGCCTTTAGGTTAAGAAATATAATGACTGTTGGACTCCGGCAGGAATGCCTATGTTCTAGAATCTGTCGGAGGGTGAAGATATGATCAATACACCCTCTTCCTGGTCTAAAGCTAACAGTGCTGGTTATTGTTGATGAAGTCAGTGAATTCGGTAATGATTGATGTAAGTTTATATTTCAGGAGGAGAAAAGCTTCGTTTAACTGTCAAGAACTTCGTGATGATTTACTTCAACCTACTTAGGGAAGAATAAGTACGGTGTCGTGTTACTTAGGTGAGTAGCCTCATTCACGCATCCTCGGCATATTTCGATCAATACACTTGAAAAAATATAACCATCAATTTTATAATCACTTGATCGATTCATGTACAACATATTTTGTAAAGGCATAGAAACACAAAATCATCCTCTAAAGACTCATAAACTGAATCTTTTATGAAAGTACGCTTGTAGCCAGTATGATTTTTACAGTTTGAGCCAACATTCATCGTGAAATATGTAAACAGCAACGCATATGACAGTAACTTAAAACAATCGGTAACTCTACCCATTTAGACACATTGGCTTCACATCTCTCAAACACCAAATGAAACATTTGCTAGAGACAGACATAATTGTACCGTTGAAATTATCATGGATTTGATGACTAATTTATATCGGCTTTTCTCGACCAGCGATGTAGTACTGTGTAAATTTGCTTCAATATACCATTCTCGAGGTAAGAAGACTACAGTTAATAGTTTCTGTATCTGAAGACCTTTGTATTCCAGAACTTGTCGACAGGTGTTAGAATATTAGATATTATATTGACCATGCTCAACCTCCTGTGATTGTTACAGGAGGATCTTCACCTCCGGTAAACTATGATGATAAGCGACTCACGCCATTCTGACGGAACTGTCAGAGGTCTTCTTAGTTAACGAAGTCATTATTCCTAAAACTCCGTGGAATCCAACTAACGTCTCCAGCTCCCATGCCCTGTCTTAGAAACATTTGTAAACTTGGTTGGAGTTTGGAAATCTGCATCTCCACTATAATGCTTTTCTAAGCAAAAATGAACTGTTACTAAATGGGTTCTGCCAAATATCCCATCATTTCCTCACGAAATGTTATTAGATTACTAACAGTTTTGTGGGTTGTTCCTCCGAACATGGATTTTCAGAGCCAACCTTCCTAATAAGCTGCCTTTTCCGTTTTTTTTCTTTTTCGTCTATTACTACTGTTCGCAGCCACTATGGAAAACTCAAGCCAAGTTATGCTTGAGCAGATCCCTCCCCGAGTTATGTTCGCAGATCACCAAGACCAGCCTATCTGCTTAGATCATTTATGTTGAAACTAAAAAAATCCGTTGTAATTTACTAGCCTTTGTCTGTAGGCTACCAGTTATCTTCCAACTAGATACGGTGACCAAAGTATTGACATTAGACTCATATTCAAACTTAATGTCAGTTGGTTAAAACTCAGTTACCAGATAACGGGCTGTGGGTCACACTTACTGTGTGATGGAAGATGATACTAATTAGTTTCTCACGCAGAAGTAGATAGAGAGATTCCCAATGGGAACCCATAGGGTGGAAGTCATGTCCTAAAGTTAGTGATTTATATCCTCACTAACTTTACGTTGTTATCAAGAAGCTGAACATGTAGAGACTTAGCACTCGATTGATTTTTACATCTATTTAATCTCATGAACACATATGCATGTACTAACATACGATACACATCCAAATTGGTCCTAAAAAAGGTGCAATCTTCCAGTGGTCCTTTAAAACACATAACGTTTATCAAAATAGTCTATGTGTCCGCCATTAGCCTGATTTCAGAGACCACCAAGTATTGTATGCATGTCTCATGTACAATACAGTTAGAGCACTGGGTGATACGACAGTTCTGTTTCCGGATTCTTTTTTGATAATTTACGGTCTCCATAAAAAATTAAACTACAAGACGATTAAGTCTTCTTTCTATTAAAACCAGTACTACCAAATAACATACGTTTTTAATTTAAGGTGTCTATTCAAAACAGAAGACTACTAAAAGACAGTAGAATTGCAAAACCTTCCCTTATCATTTGCTAATTAACAGGTGAACATAACTTGGTCAACTTTTAACTACCTCCAAAATATTTGTCTAGTCACCTGTTGTCAGCGAGCTCAACTGACTCGTTTAAGAAAGGTTTAGACGAGCAGAGAAACTTACTAGAAAAGGGTTAAGATTGGCTTCAAGCCCTCTGTTCCCAGTCAATATATCTGAATCTGCTTATTCGTTTCAAATATACCCAATACCCCTAATTTGTGTAGCAAGCCTTTCGAAAATTAACGTTACAGACACGAGCGCAAAGAAGGCTATATATATATATATATATATATATATATATATATATATGTAACGCCTGTACGAACTTTTATTCTCTGTAGTACTAACTTTTCATTTAGCAGTGACCAGTGTAATCAGTGTTTTGAAAATTTTAATGTCATTAGAAGTTCGAACAACTAAGAATTTATTTCGGTGAAATGTATCACCTATTACCATTTATCACAGAGCTTCTTCAAAATCTTCTGATACTCTGATAATAATCCCTATTTGCAAACCATATTTTGATATTCGATTGCTTTCAAGTAGCCCTAATAAGTGTGACAGCACTCCTGTTTGTAGGGTTGTGGTCAGCTAGTTTAGGCAACTGAATTTTAATCACTGGATCATGACTTCGAACTTTTAGGCAACTATCAAAGTTTGAGCAAATAGAAGATAACAGCATCCTCCAAGAATTATGCCTGATTTACTGGTAAATGTATGTAAATTACGTAATTTTTTGAAAACACCAAGACAGCTTGAACCTGGAATTCAACGGTAGACAACTCGGTTGTTTTCACAGAAGACATACACTTTTAGAAAGGCTATGATAGTGCTTTTTATTCAGAACAAGAACTGTCGACACTTCCTGTACTGTTATCACAGAGCTTATTTTAAAACATAAAAGTATCAAAACGAGAACCTGCAGCGTACGCCTGGAAGTTGACGTCGCTTTAATTCCTTGTGGTGTAGACAAAAAGTTAGTTATACCAACCTTATTACACAAAGATTGACACGATGTGATAAGAAACTCACCACCAATGATATTGGAAAATCAACATTA